TGAAAGCCACATGGGGGAGTCCAGAGACGAGTGGCTCATCACATTTTTCTGAAAACAAAAGACAGAGAGGGAGAGAGACACTCAATAACAATTTCGAAATAATTATTGGTATGTGTTAGTTAAAATAATCATTGAATCTGGTATGTCTTTTATAAGTCTTTGAAACAATATTTAGCAAAGGAATTCAGGCACTTCTGTTATCCAAAATATAATATAACACAGGAGCAGTTTATATAACCCTGATATTCAAACAGAAAACCATAGCAAAGTGCATCACTCTGAAGGGCTTCACCTCAGCCTTGCTATCTGAGAATCATGAGTCAAATTGAGCTTGTTCCTGTAATAAGCTTTGGTATCGGGCGTCTCCTGGAAATCTTCAGGTATTTATACATTATAGGGACAGAGCACTGGAATTACTAAGGTTGGAGGTGGAAAGACAAAGAGGACTCCTACCAAAGTCAAAAGACCAAGAAATGGGGAGTTGTTAACCAACACGTATAAAATTTCAGTTATGTGAGATGACTAAGTTCTGGAGATCTGGTGCTCAATATTATACCTCTAGATAATCATGCACACTTATCAAGGCAGATCTCATGTTACGTGTTCCTACTAGAATAGAAAAAAGAGGCTGGGAGCGGCGACTCACGCCTGTAATCCCGGCACTTTGGGAGGCCGAGGCGGGTGGATCACCTGAGGTTGGGATTTTAAGACCAACCTGACCAACATGGAAAAACCCCATCTCTACTAAAAATGCTAAATTAACTGGGCATGGTGGTGCATGCCTGTAATCTCAGCTACTCGGGAGACTGAGGCAGGAGAATTGCTTGAACCTGGGAGGCAGAGGTTGCCGTCAGCCAAGATCATGCCACTATACTCCAGCCTGGGCAACAAGAGAGAAACACCATAAGGAAGGAAAGAAAGGAATGAAAGGAAGAAAAGGAAGGAAGGAAGGAAGGAAGGAAGGAAGGAAGGAAGGAAGGAAACAAGGAAGGAAGGAAGAAAGGAAGGGAGGGAGGGAGGGAAGGAAAGAAGGAAAGGAAAGAAGGAAAGGAAGAAGGAAAAGAAAAAGGAAAGGAAAAAAGAAAGGAAGAAAGAAAGAAAGAGAGAAAGAGAGAGAGAGAGTGAAAGAGAAAGAGAAAGAAACAAAGAACGAACGAGACATCAGCAAGTAAAGACAGAATAATCACCAACTTGAAAATTATTACTGACAGAAAAATTAATCAGTTCCCATCATACTCAACCAATCAACTGCACTGGAACCGGGCGATACCTCAATTCTATTTGTAACACTTTCTGCACTTGGCTTTTCTAATGTCATTAACATTTTTTTTCTCTTTTTTCTCATTAGCTGCTTGCTCTCTGATTCCTTTGATGGATCTTTCTCATTTTGCCAATGCCTAAGTGTTTCTAATGTTAACGTGGCCAGGACTGTTCTGAGTCTACCCTCCCTCTCTGGGAGATGGCATGGAGGGCTATGTCTTGTGATACTGGGATGTTCCAAGTCCTACTGCCTCACTTCAACTCCATAGCTACAGATCGTGCACACACAGCTTCCAGAGCTCTCTGGTACAAAACACTGTGTGGTCTTCCTGCTTCCCCTCTCACTCTGCTATAGTTCTGTCCGCAGCATCTGAAGAAACACTTTTTAAACTGTAAGTGAACATGTGGCTGCTGTATTCAAATTGTTCTCTGGCTCCTGCTCTCAACTTGGCATACTGTTTGAAGTCTCCCCCAACCAACCCCTGCCACCCTGCCACCCAGTGGCCTATGATGGCCACAGCACTATTCTCATCTCTTTCCCCAGGTCCTTGTCTATTCCTATCTAGCCACCATGGCCCCTTTCCTCTTCTTCTTCTTTCTTTCTTTGAGACAGAGTGTCGCTCTGTCACCCAGGCTGGAGTGCAGTGGTGCGAGCTCGACTCACTGCAACCTCTGCCTCCCAGGTTCAAGCGATTCACCTGCCTCAGCCTCCTGAGTGGCTGGGATTATAGGTGCATGCCACTACATACAGCTAATTTTTTTTTTTGTATTTTCAGTAGAGACGGGGTTTCACCATGTTAGCCAGGACGGTCTCGATCTCCTGACCTCATGATCTGCCCGCCTTGCCCTCCCAAAGTGCTGGGATTAGAGGTGTGAGCCACCGCGCCTGGCCCCTCCTTTTCCTTTAAAAACAAGCCTGCCCCTGCTGTAAGCCTTTGCAATTACTAGTCCAACTATCCTCTCTTGTCACAGGTCTCTGCTCAATGTCACCTTTGCCACTGCAGACAGGCTTTGCTAGTTCATCCAGCATTTTGTTGCCATCAGTCTCTGTATCCACACCCTGCTTTATTTTTTGTCACAACACTTAGCACCACCTGACATGTTATGTTGTTATTCATTTAATTTTTTGTTGCCTTTCTCTCCCCCTAGACAGAAAGCTCTATCTGAAATGAAGTTTTAGATAGTTGGCCTAATGCTTACTCTCCAGTGATCTGAACAATGGTACTTGGCACGTACTCTAAAAACATTTGTAGGATAAATGAATGAATGTACTAAACCCAATGAACCTCAAAGAGTCGGAAGCATGATCTCATGTTATAACACGCTACAACACTTAATTTTTAGAGTGGTGCTCTTAAATTCCCAACAAATGTTTATGCTCAGAACTCTGTTTAATAAGACAGAAAATTTTTCTCTATATATTCAAAAATGGTTTCTCTCTCAGAAAGTTATAAGCAAAAATAACTTAGCAACAGAAAGAATAAACTAATTTTCTTGTAAATTCACTTAAGTGAAGTCCCCAATGATACTGGAGAAATGAATTATTATTTATTATCTCACCACTCAATTGTATACAAATTGGAAATTAAAATGAACAAATCCATCTTCATATAATATTTTTAAAATTTCTTATTTTTCTTAGTTATACTGCAAGTGCCTCTGGGAAATATGACATGTGTGTATAAATGAGTTCCCCAGAAAGTTAAATGTAAAGGGATGTAAAGAACATAAAATTTGTTTTAAAAGTATCAATTCACAAAGCTATCATCTAAACTGATGGGTTTCATATTAATCGAAAACATCTACTTTGTTTAGCTGTAAGTGAGCACAAATATACATCCTTGATTTTCCTACTTTCTGATATATTTGATTACAACTTTTTATAATTTTTGAGATAAGTGTTGCCTCTAATTGGAGTAAACATTCTTTCTAATGTTCTCATTATATTAGAAATGTGCTAACATTCACTCATGTTCATTTCATTCATTTAAATATGCATCAGGTGTCTATGTTGTGCCAAGCACTGAAGTCAGCTGAAGGCGAAATTAACAATGCCCTGCCCTTGTAGAGCTTATGTTTTAGTGGGAAGAAACATCCCAACAACAAAAAAATGTAAATTTATAGTATGTTTTGGTAATTAATACTAACAAGGAACATTAATATAAAACAGTGGGCAGGGAGTGGGGGTGAGGTGGAGAGGAAGAGAATTGCTATTTTATGCTGACTTCTCAAGGCAAGCCTTGACAACATGATCAGGTAGTATTTGAGTAGAAATATGAAGAAAATGAGGAAGAAAGCTACGTTAGAAATCAGCAGGACCATGCTAGGAAAACCTTTTTCTAGTCCATACCTGCTCAGTCAGGCTAGCTCACACTTGATAATAATGCATGACACATTTTCTAAAACTGAATATCCAATGCCTAGATATGGTTGCATTGAATGTAATTAAACTAAGTCGATAACTGGTTAAATGATCCAATAGCTAATTTAAATTTGGAATTTAAATGTAGCATTTATAAAACCATAATATAGTTTAGAGTTATTACATTAAACAAATTGACTTCTGTAACAAATTGATCATCTGAGTATCAAATTTTACATTTTTTGCTAATTTAAAAAATCAAATAAAAATCCATTTTTAAAAATTTAAAAATTAAGTAATGATTTGAAAAAATTCTGTAATTATTCAGAATAACAATTAGAATTAAATTGAGATTAGTGAAGACCCAGGCAAATAAGCATTTTTTTAAAAATGTGACTGCAAAATTATTATCAGAATGTAAAGCACTAGCAATCTCACATTCTTCCAAATTAAAACACAATCTAGAATCATATTACTAAGCAAACAAATGCAACAATTACTGTATTTTCTCCTGGAGGACATTAATCACGAATATTTATTGAGATCTTACACTGCATTTTGCTGTTTTCACTACTTCAGACAGATTATATGTGTGTGTGTGTGTGTGTGTGTATAGATATATATAAAATTCGACTTTGCTACATTCCATTTGTATATATGCACACATACATATACAAATATATGGTCTATTCCTCCATAAGTGGCAGTAATAAATGAATCTACAAAAAGTAATTAAACATGAAGTAACGATAGAGTAATACAAAATGGTTTAAAATTCAATG